GTATTTTTTTCCAATTTCTAACTTCAAAATTTTAATTTATAAATTTTAGCTTCACATATGTTATTTGCTATGAATTAAGTAATGTTTTTGTCTAGTCTTTGTTTACGATTCAATATTTTTATTTTTTATAATTGATAGTTTATATGATTTTTTTTTCTATAATATTATATTTATAATGTATTATTCTGTAAACGTCTAAATCGTCTAAAATCGCATAGGCTTCGATTAAGCGTTTTATGCGCTAGGTCACTACCCGCTTAACATCTAGTGCTTTCTTGAACATTGTTTTTTATTATATATTCATGGTCTTTGTTAAACGTGCAGCCAAAGAGAAGAGAGAACGTAATGTATATATTGTGATGTTAAGACGTCGTTTGACTATTTTTAGGACCGATCATTGTGGTGTTATAGTTTGTGTGGCCGTCATCGTATAACAAAGGATTTTAGCGATGTTGATATTGCAGGAGATTTGTATGGGTAATATATGTATTATATTTAAACAAATCAAAAACTATTTATACATGTTAGAATTTTCTAAAAATTTGTCCTAAAAGAATGCATAGTCCTACGATTAAAACATGTCACATTTGTTGTTGTTGTTGTTGAACTACTAAAACAGAGACCTTAGAGTTGAGATCTCTAGCCGCCAGCAAATCCCCGATGACACCTAACTCTGGAAGTTCGACCCACTCCATTAGTCCTGTCAAGTTTTGTGATGTCATATCATGATCTCTCCCGACCACCATAAGATCGTACTCTTCGGCGAGCAATCGGACAGCGGTGACTACTTCAACACCACTGGTCACAATCCTCTCTATATAAACAATATCTTTGTTGTCTTTTGTACTCTTCAAATCCTTTAAGCCTTCATTATCCAAAATATAATCCCAATCTGACTCTATTACATGGTCGAAGACGAGTCGGATCACGGTAATACGGACCCTCGGGTTATGTTTCATCCTTTTCACTAGTGATAGTGCCTCCCTATCATCTTTGCCTCCAATGAATAGGACACCAACATCAATGTTGTACCTTCTTTTGCTTGTTACATTACATTTCTGCGAAAATTGTCCACGGTCTACTAATATGCCTATAGAACAAGGCGCACGATCTAGTAATGACTGGTTTAGATGTCTAATGGCAATGTCGTCAGACTCAAACATCCCATTTGTGGTCCATTTCCTCCCCGATGATACTACAATCATCGAAGTCATCCCGTCAAGTGCTAGTGTGCAAATGTCTTCATGCATCAAGTTCTCATGCGAGAACGCGGTGAACATTGTCACTGTTACAGAGTCTAAGCTTTCTAGCATGAACTGTCTAAAGGCAAGGTTTGCGGTATGGATGTACGAGTTTTTGTTAAGCCGTTTCAACATCTTGTTGTTTGAGACTATGATGGGGTTGATCTGACCAACAAGCTTCACAAGGTGAAGAACTGTGACCGCGATAGGGAAGTGAAGGTTTGGTGAGGATAACAATTGGAGAAATGCAATGGTCTCAGAGACGTTTTCTGATTTGTGCAAACAAGTTAGAATTCGAAGATCTGAGTTTGGTTCTAGGTGCAGTATGTCCCTTTTCTGGTAGTTAAGGTATTTTCGTTTAGGATCGTACATGCTCCTTAAGACTGTAGGTACAATCCCGGCATTTAGTAGCGAATAAAGGATTAAGAAGGCGTAAGTGGCCTGTGATATGTACTGCAAAAACAAACCATAAAAATATGTTTAGTTTTGTGACAAAATCAATAATAACAATAATACTCTTTTAGGAGGTTACCGTGTCGTCTAATACAGCTTCATAGAGAACGAAATCAGCAAAACTTTTGTAACTCAAGATGAGGGAAACAGCCATGGATTCGCTAAGAGGTAACTTGTAGTACAAGCAAGGTGCAAGGCATGCAACCAGTTTTATGACAAGTATAAGAAATGTTAGGAAGATGTTGAAGAAGATGTCAGTGAACTGATTAAGGATCCTTACTCCATCACATCTCATCGCGCTAAATGTGACTGAGATTGGTAAGAACACGTTCATTGTGAGCCTCTCAAACTTAGCCTCGAGAGCCGATCCTAATGGTGGACCCTCAGGTATGATGATGCCAATCATTAGTGGTCCTAAGATGTATTTCATGTTAAAAGACACAAAATAAACAGCAGAAGCCAATGCGGTCAGAATTATGGCATGAATGTATATATCCTCCACGGGCTTGTCTTCCGGTGTGCGGTCTATGACCCATTGCACCATCGGCTTAAATATAAGAAAGACGACGAGAAAGAAGATGATCACCGCGACAATGTCACGATAGGCTGTTGCATGTGAAACATGAATGTAGGTTGCTTGTATAGAGGCGACTATCATGGAAAAAATCCCCAAGATGTCGTTGATGACGCATGCAGACAATGCAAGGCGACCTAGCTCGGAGTTGATGATCTTGAGCTCTAGCAAGATATATGTAGTGGAAGGCAAAAGTATTGAAGACTGAGTTACGACAATCGCAGTGCGCTCGCCCATGGCTTTATCTAGAGGCATGTAGTGAGGGTCGATGTTGTCAGAGAAAAGGTTTTGGAAACCGAGACTAAACAGAGGAGCAAAAAAGGTCACGATCCCAATCACAACAGGCAATTTTCCGCTATGGAACGCCACTCGCCTGCTGGTTCTAACAGTCATCAGAAACGTAAACATTAGTGTTCCAAATACCGAGATGCATCTTAACGCCGCGGTTCCATCTAACGCAGTATCCACTGATAGTTTCCCTGAAGATTTCTCTAGTAAATCGAAAAGCTGAGGCCCTAGAATTATTCCAGCCTGCACATAAATTTATATATATGATTTCATTTTTGTAAACTATCTTCAGTAGAACGCATTATCTTTTATGTCCCTTAAACAATTTACGTGCATGTCAAGTTACATGTAATTTTTAATAATTTACAAATCTTTATGTGTTTTGTCAAGTTACTTATGGAAAGCTGCTTACAATCATATATGAAGCAATCTGGGAAATGCCAATGCATCTGAGGAACATGTGAGACATGAAAATGCAGAAGAATATAACAATTATTTGAATCTCCAGGAGAGGCAATGAGTACCCGAAAACTACATCGGGCGATTTTAGGTTCTCCCAAAATCCCTGAGAAGATATGTTGAATAATGATATTCGGCAATCCCCAATGTAAGTAGTCGTGTTCATGAATATAAGCCAAGAAATTAGCAAAACTTGTAGATAAAAATGCCTTTTTTTGTGTGATAAAGTTTAAGTCTCTTGACAAAAAGAAGAAAAATTTGGGTTTGGGTTTTGAAAAAAGTCGTGTAGTTTTGTTGTTTAGTTTTTTTTTTTTCTGGTCTTTGGTAAGTATCTGTCATAATCTCTTTGTAACTAATGGAACTTTCCAAATTAGAAAACAACAAAAAATACCACAGAGAGGAAAAAAAAACAGTTAGTTCTTTCATTTTGTTTGTTAAAAACGTTAATCTAAAACATGGAGAATATGCTTTGCTAATTAAGATTGCAAGCTTTGAGATTTGATACACTGCTCCTAAATTAGCACAAAGTGTCTGTTTGGGGACCCAAGTTTAGGTCTAGATAGCTTAAAATCTGAATTTACGTTTATAGTCTAGCTAGAAATTTTTTCCAACTGCTTCGATCTATGCTCTATCTAAGTTTATGATGTTTTTTTCCTTTCCTGGATAACACTTATAAATTATTTTATTTCGGCCTAATAATACATATAAACTAGATTTTAATCCGTGATGTACCGGGGGACGATTTATTTTTTAAAATTTAATGATTATGTATTATATTGCAAATTGTATCATTTTTATAAGATTTTTTTTTATAGTTTACAATTGTTACTAAGTAACGGTATACTACATGACAATTTTGTTTTATACAATCTTATCGAAATCAGGCTGATTCGATATGTTTAAGATTGGTGATGTTAAAAGATAATAAATGAAGATTTAACCCATATTAAAGCGACGGGTTAATAATATTTTAAATTTTATTAATATTGATTCAAACATAGCTCGCCATATAAACCTTGTCATGCAATATAACCCGTCCCGTATTATTTTAATTTTTTATATGCTCAAATGTTCATAATATTATAAATTTTTATTGATTTTAAATATATGAATTAAAATATTTAAAACTCTTAAAAACTTAAAACTTTAATATTTTCATATTAAACAGTTTAACTAAAAATCAAATTAAACCGTACTAGATCATAGTACGGGTTAAATTTTATTTATTACAAAATTTATATATTATATATTTTAGAATAAAATTGTGATATATTATAATAGTAATTGAAAAAATATAATTAGATTTTTGTCAGTCCCTATATATAATATTAGAATGAATATATTTTCTTTTTTAATTATACTCAATTATGGATATATTTTTTTAAGATATAAAAACGGAAAATAAAATTATTTTAATAAATTAATATGGTCTGAACAATGAGTTAATTTATATTAACAACCACAAAATGAGATTGCATATAATTGAGTTAGATCAAAAATCAAAATATTATAAATGAATCGCTTCTAAAACGTAGATTATTTTTAATTAATTAAAAAAGTTAGCTATTATTTTGAATTAATTTAGGAAATTCTTTTTTCAATTTCTAATTCTTTGGCTGTTGAAATAAAGATTTGTTTGAGATAACTTCAGAATTTGCCAATTATTCGCGTAATCAAATATGTTAGGAACATATATTTAGTATATAATATACCAAATTCAACCCGTGCATGGAGTCTATATTTTTATTTTAGAATCCTAATGAAAATATTGCGTGCACAATTTATTATTCGTTATTTCCAAAATTGCTTGCACAATCAAATTTTCAAATATTTTGTGGTGTCAACCTTATTTAATCTATCTAATCATATAATCTTAACATGCCGTCTATTATAAGGATCATAATTTTATATCATATAATATATTACATTTAACCCTCCACCTACTATAACTATTTTAAATATGGGAGACTCACAAAAATGCCCCTTTTTCAATATCCCTTTTCAAAAATGCCCCCTTTGGCTGTCCATTTTTAAAAATGGACAGCCAAAGGGGGCATTTTTGAAAAGGGGTATTGAAAAAGGGGCATTTTTGTGAGTCTCCCTTTTTAAAAATACCCCTTTTTATGTACAAAATGACTAAATTACCCTTCTTTTAATAAAATCTATCACAAATATATAAGGAAATATAACAAAATTAGGTCCACAAAATACAAAATATTTTTTGGCGGGAAAATTGATCCCGCAATTTTTCCCGCCAAAACACTTGTAAAAACCTTTAAAATACCTTGTAAAATTTTCCCGTAAAATTTTTTCCCGCCAAATAATTTTCCCGCCAAAAAATTTTTTTTGCGGGAAAAGTGATTCCGCAATTTTTTTGGCGTTAAATTTTTCCGCCAAAAATTTACAAGGTATTTTAAAGGTTTTTTACAGGGTATTTATAAGGTTTTACAATGTATTTTAAAAGGTTTTACAACGTATTTATAAGGTATTTATAAGATTTTACAAGCTATTTTATAAGGTTTTACAAGTTATAAGATTTTACAAGTTTTTTATAAGGTTTTACAAGTTATAAATACCTTATAAAACCTTATAAGTACCTTGTAAAATCTTTTAAAATACATTGTAAAATCTTACAAAAACATTTGTAAATACTCTGTAAAACCTTTAAAATACCTTGTAAATTTTTCCCGCCAAAAAAATTGCGGAATAACTTTTCCCGAAAAAAAAAATTTTTGGCGGGAAAAAAATTTTGGCGGGAAAAATTTTTACGGAAAAATTTTACAAGGCATTTTAAAGGTTTTTAAAAGTGTTTTGGCGGAAAAATTGCGGGATAACTTTTCCCGCCAAAAAATATTTTGTATTTTGTGGACCTAATTTTGTTTCAAATAAGGGTAAAATGGTCATTAAAAATTAAAAGAGGGCAAACTTAAAAATGGACTCTCAAAGGGGGCATTTTTGAAAAGGGGTATTGAAAAATGGGCATTTTTAACAATTTCTCTTTAAATATATCTTTTTAGAAAATCAAATTAAAGTATTTATTTTTTTTTTTTTTTATCTATTAAATATTTATGATATTCATTAAAATATTAAATTAAACTATTTTTAAATGTTCCAAATTAAAATCTTTAAAAATATTTCTTGTAGTATATAAAATTATAAATTTCAAAAAAGAAATATATGAAATTAAATAAAAATATTCAAACTGTTATAAGGATCATAACTCATTTGTTAATATAATATATTATATTTAACCCAATGCCTATTATAAATATTTGTTTTAAAAAAATCAAATTAGAGTATTTATTGATGATATTCTTTAAATATTGATGATATTCTTGAAAAATATCAAGTAAAACTAATTTTATATGTTGCAAATTAAAATATTTAAAAATCTTATTGTAGTATATAAAATAATACATTTTAAAAAATAAATGTAAGAAATTAAATATAAATATGGGAGACTCACAAAAATGCCCCTTTTTCAATACCCCTTTTCAAAAATGCCCCCTTTGGCTGTCCATTTTTAAAAATAACCTTTTTTATGTACAAAATGACTAAATTACCCTTCTTTTAATAAAATACCTTATAAAACCTTATAAAACCTTATAAGTACCTTGTAAAACCTTATAAGTACCTTGTAAAACCTTTTAAAATACATTGTAAAACCTTACAAAACACTTGTAAATACTCTGTAAAACCTTTAAAATACCTTGTAAATTTTTCCCGCCAAAACTTTTCGCCAAAAAAATTGCGGAAACACTTTTCCCGCAAAAAAAAATTTTTGGCGGGAAAATTTTTACGGAAAAATTTTACAAGGTATTTTAATGGTTTTTTACAAGTGTTTTGGTGGGAAAATTGCGGGATCACTTTTCCCGCCAAAAAATATTTTGTATTTTGTGGACCTAATTTTGTTTCAAATAAGGGTAAAAGGTCATTAAAAATTAAAAGAGGGCAAACTTAAAAATGGACTCTCAAAAGGGGCATTTTTGAAAAGGGGTATTGAAAAAAGGGCATTTTTAACAATTTCTCTATAAATATTCAAATTCTGACTCGTTACTCAGTCGAAATTTTTGTTGAACTTATTTTTGGTTAAAAGAAATATATTACTCAAATGTGAATTTTTGACCCTTTAAATTTTTTTCTTCATAGATTTAACAATTTATATTTGTTTTTAAAAATTCAAATCTTGGCATATGCAGAAAAAAATTATTTTTTTCTGTTATATGGATGATATGATGATTTATTTGTTTCATAAAAATAAAATCATATAAAGATGAGAGGTGAAGTATAATGATTAATAACAAATTAATATGGTAAGTTAGATATCAAATCTTATATGTTCATTTTGATTGATCATTCTTTTTTTTAAGTAAATAATATATTTTCGTTTTCAATAATGAAATTAATTAAATTTTATAAATTAGTATTTGACTTGTTTTGAGCTGAATTAATTTACTCTTTATATTTTTTTTTATCTCTAATGGCATTCTAATGTAATAACTTACAAAGACGAAGGTTATTAAAGGGTAATTATAAATTGTACTCCCCAAATAATAGTATAGGATACAAAATTTTATATTTGGATGCTTGTAATGTTAAGCTTCTTGCTCATTCGGATCAAGCATTTTGATCTTATTATTTATCTTATAAATCACAAGTCACATACCCAATAAATATCTGCCATATCATCAAACACAATTTTTTAAGATTCCAATTTTATTCAACAAAATTTAACATGTTTATATATATTTTTAATAAATAAAATAGCAATTTTCAATCAAAGTTAAAACTAATATTTCACGTTCATCTTAACTGGATACCACAATCCCGTCATCGTATGTATATATATACTGACTTGGCCATTTACAAAAGGCAAAATTTTTTACTTCTCATTCATCAATTCGCTCTATTTCTTCAAATTTAAACAAAATTATTTCGTATTTATTTGGGTAAACGGTCTGTGTCCCCCTCAGAAGTTTCATATAGCACTAGAACTACACAGAATTTCGAGCCTCGATCTCGGTCCACACAAACGAGAAGTTTCAGTCCGGTTTCTCCTTAATTTGAAAGATCGAAACGTGGTTCCACATAGACGTTGGTTTTATCGGTTAATGACCAAAACCTGATAGCAAACCACTAAATCTTATACCAAACCGAAGTAAAACCGGTCGAAAAACTGAAGGTTATGAGATCTGCTCTTTTAACAAGAGCAAGCGACTCAACCAATTTAACGGTGGTGACGTCATCCGATCTGAAAAAGGACCATCGGAGCGTAACCTGCGCCGGCGGAGAGACAGAGAGGTTTGGTGTGATTTTGGATGAATCTGAGATCGGAAAATCGGAGAAGGAGGAGAGACGCGATTTCCAAGCTTTAGAGGACCAGCTTCGAGCGTTCTTCTTGGGGAGAGGAAGATGTTGGCGAGGCGATGAATCGCAATTGGAACTAGGGAAGTGCGTATGAGGTTTTGATGGAGCATCTGGTGAAATACAAGTTTTCGGCGGCGTCTGGAGAATGATAATCACCATTAATACTGTTCCGACCTCAATCCAGAGCTTGAACCCGTTTCAGTTAAAAAAACGGGTCAGAATCAATCGTAATCACAACTTGCCCCTCCTCCGTCGTTAACAATGATTTGAATTCGAAGTCTCAGCAGTTTCGTGTTGAGACTCATGATCCCACGAATCGAAATCAGAGTTTCGTCTCGGAGACATCGAATCGCGAAGCTATCATCGATGCTTCTGTTTCGTGTGTGAGGGACATTGTGAAGGAGATGAATCAGAGAGGAACCATCTGTTGTAGTTGTTGGTCGGCTAGAGAAATGTTTGATTTTGAAGTTCTTCAATGTTTAATCTGTTTTTTTTATGTGTGATGCCAACTCTTTAATGTTGTTGCTACTCTCTCGTTGAACAATGTTGGTTTCATCTTTGAACCCATCTTCACCAAAGAATCAAATTAGAAAAAAAGATCAGACTTTGAAATTGCAAAGTTACAATTTTTATGTGTTTGTTTGTGTGTGTCATCTTCCTTGACGAGATTAGCTTCATCTCTCGGTTTGATTTTGATTTTTGGTTTAATCCGGTTTATTTTTATTGTTATATGGTTAATGGTTATCTGGGCAACAATAAACCAACTGTAAACCATGATTATGTGGTTTTGGGTTTTGAAATTTAAAATTAGGGAGAAACTGAACTAGAACTTTCAAATTAGGGGGAAAGTGGACTAGAACTTTCTGTTTGTGTGAACTAAAATCGAGGTTCAAATTCTGTGTAGTTCTGATGCTATATGAAACTTCTGAGGGGGACACAGATCGTTTACCCTATTTATTTTTTTAAACTTCTAACGTAAATTAATCATAGTGTGAGTGTGAAAGGAGGAGTTCCAAGGGTATATAGAGAAAGTCAAGAAGCTCTTCAAGAGCCGAATAGTTCAGCCTCTCCAAGCAAGTCATAGTCCATCCATTTATATCAGCTAATTTATATTTACTCTCCTTCCACATTAAGATCTTGCATTGCTTTTTGGTTCAATTATGATTGTTAGATTCTGAAATTAAAAAAGAAAGAAAAGGATTATTTTGTGTATAGATAACATTTTAAGTTGAAGCAGAAGGCATAAGGCATAGAGTCATATATCATATATATGAATCCAATATATTTTCCAAATACTTTAAAAACAATCTTTGACTTTTTTTTCTTTTAAACTCCATGATCACCTCTAGGCTCTAGCACCATATAAAAAAAATATCAAATTAATTTATATGAGAATCAAAACACTTCCAATTATTTCCACGATATCCTTACAATGAAATATCAAACAACCTCATTGAGAAAGTTTTTTTTTCCAATCAAAATTGACTTTATTGCAAAAAGTTTGTATTTCAGTTTATCTTTTCCGTACGTAGTATGAGTAGAATACTAGTTTATAATATAACTCTGAAATATTCTAGCCGATATGAGACGTTGTACACACATTTTTCTATTAATTGAGTAATATATGTCCGTTTCTAAAATTTCGAATCACAATATATGCAAAAAAAAAAAAATTGAGATTTTTCTTAACCTTATTTATTATATGATGATT